GTACCTTCATGGATTGTGTTTTTCTGTTATGTTCATGACAACGGTCTTTGTTTTCTTGGCGACTACGGTTCTTAAACCCGAGGCAACTCATACCGCATTCTTTTCGAGCTTGACTCGGCCAAACTAAATTGAAGACCAGTCTGGTCGAAACGTAGTAAATTCGAGTTTTGTTCGAGCTGAACTTTGGATTCTTAACCAAAGGAAACAATTAGATAATTCAAAGTCCGGGTTAGGGTGGCTTGAGTACAAAATTTGAGGTGATTCTTGTTGTTGAATATGTTGTTCATTTTAGTTGATAACTGATGCATACTTCATGCGATTCATAATTCGATTGTGATGCGGTTTCATGTATTCGAATTGTCGTGTCTGCAGGTGACCCTTGTGAAGATGGTGAACGAAGCGACGGCTAACATTCCGAACTGGGACGCGGAGTAATCGTCTGGTAACACAGCTTATGGAAGTTCTATTTACGGTTAAAGGAATTTTTTTTATCGAATCGATATCGAGGATCTACAAAATCGATTTACGAATACCTTAGCTCAAATTGAAACATGAGACACTTTGAACTGTTCTCGAATCGAGCTCGAACTTTAAAAATAAAATTCGATCGAGTTCGAGCCCCTCTTATACTACTCTTCGGACTTTCAAAATTTAGTCTCTTTGCTTTTTAATCTCGGATATTGTCATGTGTACTTTATGTTTCTATCAAACAAAGATAAAATGGGAAACATTCAACGCTAGAAAGAGTGCTTGAAACTCCGATCTTGTAGTTAACAGCCACAGGCTCTAACCAACTGAGCTTTTCCAGCTTGTTGATTTGCCTTTAAACAAAACTATATTTAATACTAAAGCAAACTAAACTACACATTTAGTACTTAAACTATCATTTTTGGTCAATTTTAATACCTAAACTTTTAATTTTTTTCAAAATCATGCCTAACGTTTAGTTTTTATTTTGGTTTAGTACCCCACCGTTAAAAACTTAACGTGTTTAGTATATAAACTATCAATTTTTGTCCGTTTTAGTATCTAAACTTTCAATTTTTTTCAAAACTTAACGTTAAATTTTGAGCGGTGTCCTAAAATAAAACAAAAACTAAAGTTTTAAATAGCATGTACTAAAATGAAAGAAAAATTAAACTTTAGGTATGGTTTTAAAAATTGAAAAATTTAGTTACTAAAACGGATCGGAACTGATAGTTTAACACATAATTTATCCTATTTATTTTTGGGTCAACATCCACTTACACAATGTAAAACTTTTTTAGTTTTACATAGATTTAGGACCGTTTGATGAGATGAAATAAATGTCTAACATTTACTCCTTATTTTTTCTAGTAAATTCATTCGCATTTCTTGTTGTTAATCTAAATCGTTTATTTCATCTCATCAACAATCGCAAATATATAAAAAAAATTACACTATGTAATTGGATCATATCCCTTTATTTTCTTCCATAAAAATAACATGATATACATTATTGTGTTAATTGATAAAAAATTGATCAAATTTGATTCAACCCTTAAGTATTAAAGTTTATGCCTAACTTATCTTTGTACATTTTAGCTCAAATTTGCATTTTAAAAGCCTTATATATATATATCAAAACTTTATCAAATATCAAAAAAAAAAATCTTAATTCAACAATTATCAAATAATTTAATGAGATTAGGCGTTAGGTAACTTAACTAAGGCATAGAATTACCCCAGCCATTGCAGAAATGATCAATTTGCACTCTCTTTTTGGAACATTTTAGTTTAATGTTTTATTTTGGAGCAAAATGTCCCTTGTTGGATGAAAATTTTTAGTTGACTAACAATCAATGATTTCTATTGATATGACGGGTCCACATGTGATGTCACGTCATCAATAAATTATTTTTATAAGCGTATATGTAATTAATTACAATTACAATTTATTTTTAAAATATTTTTTGTTGACGTGGCATCACATATGAACCTATCATGTCAATAGGAAGCATTGATCACTAGCTAATTAACGATTTTCATTCAATCAATTGGCATTTGCTTTAAAAATAAAACGTTAGATGCTAAAATGATCCAAAAATAAAGAGTAAAGTGATTATTTATACAAACGTTCGGGAATAATTTTTTTACTATTCCTTCCAATAAATATGAAAGGGACTCAACAAGAAAAAAAAAGACCCACTTTAGTATTAGTGTGAAGCACTTTCCCATCTAATTTCTACAAGACTATAAGGTCATCTCTAATGATTATCTCTACTCTAGCGTATCTCTATCTCTACTCTAGAGATGAAACAATAATTCATCTTCAACGCTATCTTTACATTACTACTAACTTTACTTTATTCACAATATTTAATTATTATAATATTGATTTTACAAATATAAAATAAAACATATACATTTCTAATAAATATCTATTTGAATTTTAAAAAATCAGAAAAAATACAAAAAAAATAGAATAATTACAAAAAAAATTAGTATGTTTATTTATCTAATTACCCCATATTTTTATATATCTTGCAAATTAATCTATTTGAATTTAAAAAATACAAAAAAAATCAGAAAAAAATACAAAAAATCAGAAAATTTACAAAAAAAATAATATGTTTATATATCTAATTTTAATGTATTTTTATCTATCTTTTAATTTAATCTATTTGAATTAAAAGAAATTGTTTCGCATGTTATAATACCGTGCTAGATATGACGCGGACTGTAACGTTTCTCTAGTGTAGAGATGAGTCTAGCGATGGGCTGGATGAAGTTTTTTCTCCACAGTGGAGATATTCTCCGATTGTGGAGAAGCATTGTCTACAACTACATAGTAGATATCTTTACGATATCGCTTATTTTAATACTTATTTAAAAAGAAGAAAAAAGGAATATTTCTATCTATTAATCGATATTAAACTGAATAAACAATTATTCTTAATTTATTCAACATTAGACCACAAACGTGGATATATTATATTTATATAATGGCACAATAACAAAAATACCCCTAAGGTTTGAAGAAACAACCACTTTGATTCATATTATTTTTTAGAGTATTTTAGTCCTCACGTTTCATTTTACGGTTAAAATATCCTTTTATAAATGAAAATTGTTAGTTAACAAACGATCAACACTTCAAAATATGAGTCTTTTACCCTGAAATGAAACGTTAAGTGGGCAAAATAATTAAAAAAATAAACGTTAAAGTGATTGTTTAGTCAAACATTAAGAATTTTTTATCTTAAAATAAAAAATCAGGGTGTAAAAATACTCATAATAAAAAGTATATATGAAACCGACTATTTAATCAAATATCAGAAGAATCTTTGACATTATACCAAATAATATCATATGAATAGATATAAACAAATCTAAATCTTTAAGAAAAATAAGAGTTTGTTCAAAGATCGTATTCGTGAGATTTATTATGACCTAAATCTCATCTCAATATTTTTTTACTAAAACACTAATTATCTCAAATTAATACAAATTAAAATTATTTAACTTCGGAATATAAATTTAATATTAAACCAAAATGGTCAGCTTTGTGTGGCCTGCACATTAATTAGAGGTGTTCATTCGGTTAAAATGATGACCGATCGAATCGAAATACCCTTAACCGAATTAATCGATTTTTTTTTTCTTTAATCGTTAACCGAATCAAACTTATTTTTTAAAGTACTAACTGAACCGAATAAATTTCGATCAATTTTCGAATTAACCGATTTTTTTTAGAATTTTAGAATTCAATATTTTTTAAATTAAAAAAACAATTTACAATTAATTTAAATAATATCTAATTATAAATAATATCTAATTAATCTGATTCAAACATTTTACATTTAGTTTTGATATTATTTTAATTAATTAATATTGATTTGAGTTTAAAATGGGTTTTAAATGGATTGGGTATCTTAATATAATTATATTTAAAGGTTAATTCGGTTAATTAACCGTTTTCGAATCGAATTAACCGTTAATCGAATTTTAAAAAATCCTTAACTGTTTTCCGACCGAATTAATTCGATAACCGACTAAATTAACTAAATTAATTCAGTAATAGACCGAATTAACCGAATTAATTCAATTCAATCAGTTAATTGGATTAAAATCAAATTTTGAACGCGGTAACATTAATAGTCATATGAGCCTATAATAATTCCAATACATCTAAAAGGAGGCGATCACATTCTACACGCCTTTTGACCCCACCACCGTGGAATATGTAACGTGGACTTGAGAATTCTTGGGGAGACTCTACTTTTTTATAATAAAAAAAATAATTTTAAGTTCAAAATTAATTTGACAACATATACTCAAATATCATGTAATATGTGGTATTCGAACTTGATATCTCTATAAATAATAACTATTTATTTAACTGTTTAAGTAGTTTGGTTCATGTTATATTTAACAGAATTGGATTCAGTAACGTTTTTCTTATTCTTTTGTTACTCTTTCAGTTCTAAGGCTTTACCTTAATTAATTCGGACAGACCGGAGTCGCACACCCGACTTTGATTGATAAGTCTTTTAAAGTAAATTTTCTATATATACAAAGACTCAAACCCAAAATTTTATTTAAATAATATCAAATTATTTACCACTTGAATCAATTAATAAAATTTCTTCATACTTCCAAGAAAAAAAAGCATAAAAGGCTGTCGGTCATAAAAATATATGTAACGTACGTTGGTGAAAACTTCCGCTAAAGGTATGTCAGTTCCACCCAAATTCCTATACTTATATAACACGTTTCAGTCATAAAGCATAACATTCTAAAGCTTGGAATGGCCAAAAAGCAGGTCAACTATATATATATATATAATACGAATTTAAGAAATTATATTCAAATTATTATATATATATAATGTGAATTTAAAAAATTATATTAAAATTGTTAATATTTAAATTTTTAAGAAAGCGTGAACGTTCTCAGCATTTCTTGGATCCATTCTTACCTATATAATATTGTATATATTATTAGATTTATAAATAACGTGGAAATTTCTTGTTTCCATCTATATATAAAGGGCACCCAAGTTCATCCTGACTCAACACTTTCGAGTCTTCAACTCGGTTTCTTAAACAACAACCCCAACCCAAGAACCATGGTTCAAGAGAAGAAGCTAGTCGATGAAGTATCCGGTTGGCTAAGAGTCTATGACGATGGCTCGGTCGATCGGACCTGGACAGGTCCGCCTGAGGTAAAGTTCATGGCCGAACCAGTTCCACCCCATGAACATTTCATCGACGGTGTAGCCACGCGAGATGTGACCATTGATCCCGGATCAAACCTCAGGGTTCGAATCTACTTGCCGGAGGAAAAGGAAAATCCCACGCCGGAAACCAAGTTGCCGGTCATACTTCACTTCCACGGCGGTGGCTTTTGCATCAGCCAAGCCGATTGGCTCATGTACTATGAGGTGTACACCAGGCTGGTCAAATCGGTTAAAGCCATCGTCGTCTCGATCTACCTCAGACTCGCACCGGAGAACAAGCTCCCGTCCGCTTGTGACGACGGCTACACCGCCCTCCTCTGGCTCCAATCGTTGGCTAAAGGTGAGTCAAGCGAACCCTGGCTCAACAACCATGGTGATTTTACCCGAGTCTTCCTCATTGGTGATAGCTCAGGAGGGAACATAGTGCATCAAGTAGCTGCGCGTGGTGGATCCATCGACTTGACCCCGTTGAGCCTATCCGGTGCGATCCCGATCCACCCGGGGTTCGCTCGGGCTCAACGGAGCAAGTCGGAGCTAGAGCAACCGGAGTCACCATTCTTGACCCTGGACATGGCGGACAAGTTCTTAGCCCTAGCATTGCCCGATGGGTGCACCAAGGACCATCCAATAAGTTGTCCCATGGGGTCGGGTGCCCCACCCATTGAGACCCTAAATTTGCCACCGATGCTATTTTGTGTAGCCGAGAAAGACCTAATGATAGACTCCGAGATGGAGTACTACGAATGCTTGAAAAAAGCTAACAAAGATGTGGAGTTATTCATTAGCCCTGAAATGAGTCATAGTTTCTACCTCAACAAGATCGCCGTCGATCAGGATCCTGTCACCGGTGCAAGAACTAGTGAGCTTATTGATGGAATCAAAGAGTTCATCAATAAGCATTGAAAAACCTAGTTTATCTTATCCAAAGTACTACGGTTGTTGATCATATTAAAATCTGAATTTTCTCACGTTAATTATATATTTTACTAAATTGAAAATGTCCTCTATGAACCTTTAATCGTGCTCACCCACATCAAATTTTAATCAAAGTCCGACTAAATATGCTGATAAATGTGTGTACCTTAAAAATATTTATGAATCTGTTCATTGAGATTAATCAACGAAAAATACATGTTTAATTTATAGTGAGTAAGTGTCTATCTTGAAATATGAATTTCTTTAGATTAATTATTATTTGTTGTTATCCCCTGAAATATCGAATTGAGATACCGCATATGTTAAGAATATATACGTTCATTATCAAATAATTAAAAAATATTATCTTATATTCATCTCATATTTATAAAAAAATATACAACTCCTAAAAAATATTACTGAAGTTACATAATACGTAATGATTGTTAATGATATTTTTCTTTAATCTATATAGATTAGGCATTATCTCAAAAAACTATATGTTAAAATTTATTATGTCGTGCAATTATTAAATCACAAAAAGATAAAGATGAGGCTGTTGATATAGTGAAAAGCTCAATTATAGCGTCCTATTTTGTTGTATGTGTGTACACACACATCAAAATGGAGCAATAGTTCATGTCCTTGTATATATATATATATAGGTGGGGGTCTCATGTAATTAGAAAAATGGAGCAATAGTTCATGTCCTTATTTGTATATCATGGTGGGGTCTCATATAATTAGGGCTGGTAACGGATCGAGTTTTTTTTAAACTTGATCTGACTCAAAAAATATATATCATCTATTCGAATTCAAATTGATCCTAAATTATATATCTTCCACTTGACCTAGCCTAACCTAAATTTTTATAATATAAATTTGATCTGATATAAAATTAAAGACTTAATTAAAAATAATAATTTTTTTAAAGGAGATTACATTATTATCATTGGCTCAGGTCAAGTCAGAGTTTTTTCACACGCTACCCTATCCTGACCAAATCAACCTCACTCTTTTAAAAATTCGACTTGACCTGAACCCGATTTTTTTTTTAAAAATTGAACCTATCAAATTAGGTCGGATTAAAATTTGTCGATTTCATATTAAATTGTAATCCCTACATATAATTGTAAGTTTGTTCCATTGTTTAAAATGGATAGTTTACAAAATGCGAGGTTCTAATCATAGAGGAGTTACCAATGTTTTACTCAGGAATTTTAAAGCAGTGAGAGAATCAGAAATTTAAAATGAGATCAAATTTTTAATATTTTTAGTAAAATAAACATATAATTTTTTTATTTTTTCTTTAACTTAAGAAATTCATTTAAATTTAATAATTTACCTACAAAAATAAGACAGATATATAAGAACCACTAAGTCCTAAATTTAACACGTGATCTATTCCTCATGCATAGGTATGAACTAGTGACACGGACGTACGATTTTATGTTGGACTGGATTTAAACTTAAGGGTGCGAACTAAAATTTTAGAGGGCGAAACAAATTTTTAATAGAAAAATATATAAATTTTTTAAAATATATGATAATTTTAAATTTTCAAGGGACGATTACCTCCACCCGTCCCCCTCAATCCTTGGTATGGACTACAATATTAAAGGTAAAATTAAGACATATATTATCGAGAGAGTCGCATCAATGAATGATAATAATTCTTCTCGTGCAAAATTAATAATGATATGAACCTAGATTTTTTGTTATCTAATTTCATATTTAAAGTGTAGTTTGTTGTAATTCGTCTTATGCTTAAATGTAATATGATTGATATGGATGTTGTGTTTAATGCATGATGATGATGTTTGAAGTGTAATGATCATAGAAGCATGTTAGCATATCTTGTTTGAGTGAAAATGATTGGATGAACTAGTAGTCTTATAGCACAAAGAAACATGTCAAATTAAAATGAGTGCATTAATCCATGCATGTGTGCGACATTTCATGTTTATAATATGCCTACACATAGTATGGGTAGAGATAGCAACATATTAGATTGGGTTGGGTTTTTGTCAATCTGATCTGACTTAATAAATTTGTATTCTCCACCTGAACTCTACCCAACCCGAAAATTATATATCATCCATCCGATCCGATCCAAAAAATATGTACCATTCACAAGATTGGGTCGGGTCGCCATTTTTTACCCTATACCTGAACCTGACCTGACTCAAGCCGAATCTTAATTTTTCTTTTTAAAAAATCTGACCATATCAAATAAAATCGGGTTGAAACCGTCGATTTTGAATTAAATTATCATCCCTAAATATGAGGCATGCTCGTAGGGCTTGTGACAATTTGGTGAGAAATAAATTGTAATTAGAGAGTTTAAAACTTCGTTTTTGAGTTGCTCGGTGCATGAATGTATATTTTGGGCTCTGGAAATCAATACTATTCAAGGGCATTGAATAAAGATGAAAATAGATCGGAATCATTTGATATGAATCGACTCGAGTCTAGAGAGATTTTACTCGATCTAAAATCTTATCCAATTTTTAGGGTAGAAACTCGCACTCAGTCTAATCCGTATAAGGATCTAATCGAAAGATGAATATCGTTGTAATTATCCTTAAATATATTAGGGAAAACTATACTATTATCTTGATCAAGCTTGAGATTTGCATCCTAAACCCGATCAACCCGACTTTATACTTTTAAAAAATCTGATTCAATTCAAATTAAATTTTCAACAACAAAAATAATTTTATAATGTCGAGTCAGATTGAATCCCATCGGATTTAGATCCTATCCCTATCTCAATATTAATATAATGTAATTATTTGATAATTTTCAAAACATCAAAAGAAATTTTAATGTCTATATATGAAATTTCATATCGATATTGTAGACATATTTTTTAGTATTTTCAAAACTTCAAATTAATTTTAGGTATTGATACCTTATATATATTTTTCAGAATTTATGTTTTTGCGTCCAATAGTTTTTCAAGTTTGCAAAAAGATCCCTATTGACCAAAATAACGAATTCTTACGTTGATCTAAATTGAATGATCACCCGATTGCTTTTATGATAATTCCAACTACACCCTTATTATTTCCAAAAATATCCAATTTTACCAATTTACAAATCAAGCGCCAAACTTTCAATTATTTGCAAATTAATCCATTTAGACAATTTAGCACACCCTTTTTTGCTTTCATGGTCTTGCTTGAGTTATTTTCTTCTTTCATGACACATGATGACTATTGTCGATGTAAATGTTATCTTTTGTTATATTTTAAATTAATCATATTTTGATTTGATTTTCGAGTGTAACTAGGAATGGAAACAGATCGGGTTTTTGGTCAACCCAACTCGATACAAAAATATGTATCCTCCACCTGAACTCAACCTAACCCAAAAAATATACATCATCCACTCGACTATGATCTTAATCGAATTTTTAGTGTATAAATTTAACCTAACCCGACCCGATCTAATATAAAATAAAGATTTAATTAAAAAATAGTATTTTTTAAGAAATTACATTATTATTCCCGATCGGTCGAGTCAGAGTTTTTCATTCTCTACCTGGACCCAACCTGACCTGACTTCACCTCTTAAAAATTTGATCGGACCCAATCCAAACTATATTTTTTAAAATTTGACTCTATCAGACCGGTATTGTTAATACAGTCAGGGTTAAATCTTCATCCTTAAGGTGTGTTTGGTTTACGGAATGTAAGATTACCAGTAAGAATGCAAGATTACCGGGGAATAAGATTATTGGGAATGTTGTATTTTGTGTTAAGATTACCGTATTTGGTTAAAGGAATAAAAGATTATTGGAATGTATATTTGACCAAATTGTCTTTATTATATATTTGTATAATATTACAAGTTGGAAAATATTTATATATTTTCTTTAAAAAAAATTAAATTCATAATATTTATATATTTTTTTTTACAAAATTAAAAATATAAAAAAGGTTTAATGAAAGGGAAAATTTTACTTTAACCCCTGAACTTCATATAAAATTTTAATTATAGACTTTTTTTTTGTAAATCTAAAATAATTTAATGATAAATTTGTAATTTAACCTTCGTAGAATTTTTATTATTCAATAACAGAAGAATAATATTTTTGAAAAAAAAAATTAAGGGCATTTTAGTCCAAAACAATGGTAATCCAACAATACCTAAGGAAAGGGAGATAATAACATTCCCGGTAATATACCCCAAAAAATCCACTATTAGTAATCTTTCATTACCGGGAATGGGATTCCCGGCCTAACCAAACGGGAGAATGTGGATTCCATTTCCATGGGAATCTCACATTCCCCCATCCAAACACCCCTAAGTGTAACTCTCTATGTCTGTGTATGATTATTAAAAGAGAAAATAACTTCAGTGACCGAAAATGCCTTATAATATACGATTTTAACCAACTTTTTTTTGGATTTGCGAAAATGACCAACAAATTCGCAACGCGAACTCCAATTTCGCAACACAGGTTCCAAAATCGCAACGCGATTTTCCAAATTCGCAACGCGAATAGTTAAATCGCAACGATAATATATAAATCGCAAAACGAATTCTCCAAATTCGCAACTCGAATTTCGCAACGCTAATTACCGATATAGGTAATTAGCGTTGCGAAAACGAAATTCGCATTGCGATTTTGGAGAATAGCGTTGCGAATTTCGTTTTCGCAACTCGAATTTCGCAACGCTATAGGTAATTAGCGTTGCGAAAATGAAATTCGCGTTGTGAATTACCTATATAGGTAATTAGCGTTGCGAAAATGAAATTCGTAACTCGAAAATGAAATTCGCAACGCTAATTACCTATATAGGTAATTAGCGTTGCGAAATTCAAGATGCGAATTTGGAGAATTCGCGTTGCGATTTACATATTATCGTTGCGATTTACCTATTCGCGTTGAGAATTACATATTATCGTTGCGATTTAACTATTCGCGTTGCGAATTTGACTTTCGCGTTGCGAATTTGGAAAATCGCAACGCGAATTTCATTTTCGCAACGCTAATCACCTATATAGGTAATTAACTATTCGCGTTGCGAATTTGACTTTCGCGTTGCAAATTTTATTTTCGCAACGCTAATTACCTATTTAGGTAATTCGCAAACCGAATTTCATTTTCACAACGCTAATTACCTATATAGGTAATTAACTATTCGCGTTACGAATTTGACTTTCGCGTTGCGATTTTGGAACCTCTGTTGCGAAATTGGAGTTCGCGTTACGAATTTATTGGTCATTTTCGCAAATCCAAAAAAATTGATTAAAATTATATATTATAAAGCATTTTCGGTTACTGAAATTATTCTCTTATTAAAATAGCATACTAGATGTTACATTCTGTCTCTGATAATAATTCTATAATATCTGATATATTTTAAATGCTATTATTTTAAACATTTTTATTCTCATTTTTAATATATTGTATCCAATACGGGAAAGAAAGAATAGTGTTATTAATTTAAAAATCAATCTTTAAATCAAATAAATAGAGAATCTAAATTCTTTAAATCATAAGTAGAGATACTAATGATTTTTTATATATTTTTATATATGTAACTAAATAATAAAGTATAGAATTATCGAATATAATTTAAAAATAAATTAAAATAATTAAATATTTTATTATTTATAACATTAAATAAAGTTTCGTACAAAACTTGTGAAGTGTTCCAATAAGGGCAGCATTTTTGGTCAAATTTTTGCAAGTGGCTTAGAGATAAAGACAAACAAGCGGACCACAAAATGGACATCTTTGTTTGGTATTGGGATTTATGAAATAGGACAAGAAATTGAAAGTATTTACATTTTTCTCGAATGATTACGATACTATTATATGTTCATAATTTTTCTTAATTATTGATAAATTACATATATTTTAAATGTAATTATTCGAATTTAAGACATCAAAAAATATAATATTTTTTTATCATCGAAACTACTTAATGAATTTCTAAACATATTTTACTAAGTTTAATCTCGACTTAACTTTGAAATTTTAAGAAAAAATCATCTAGTGTTTAATGTTACAAACATTATTACTTTTTGTGCCCGAGTTGTAACTGTCGTTGAATTTTACCGTTAAAGGACACATTTCAAGTTTTGGTAATTTTAAAAAAACATTTAAAATTAAAAAAAATAAATTTATATTTAAAAACAAAAATTCTGAAATACTTTTAGAAAGCCCCAAAATTTTTAAAATCTTCATTTCAACCACTAAACTCACGTCGACCGTCGGCATTTACCGTCTACAAAGCTCCATCTGACTCTACTTCCACCCGATGATCGATAATCCTATGAAATCGCGATGAATTGACAACCAATCGACGTTTGTACCGATAAACCCTACTCTACAAATCGTAACTCCATGCAATCTCGATTGCCAATCGACAACAAGCATGACGACATATGATTAAGAAGATGATAAGGACGACATCAGTAGATTAAGGTTAGAAATTTTTAAAGATTTGAAATTTTTTAATTTAAGAGAAATTAAGATTTTTTTTATAAATCAAATAATATTTTTAAAATTACTAAAATATGACATGAAAAAAATTTAATGACAATTATAGTTCAGACAGATAAAGTGATATTATTTATAATGTATTAATGTTCGACACTTTGATGATTAAAAACAATTGAATATTTATCTGTACAGTTTGGAAGGTCGAAAAAGAAAATATGAAACAGCTAACTTATGGTGTAATGTTGACATGTTGTTGGATCCACGTCCACCCAAGTGGCACATGGGATGCCATATTTTCCCATCAAACAAACACGGACTCTCCCTTCCAAAGTCAAATAAACACAGCCAAAAAGCTTCAATCTTTTATAATTTCCTCTCCATGAACTGAAAGCACACATCCCATCCGATTCCTTCAAACAAAAAATCCCATAAAAAACCACTTTTTCCCCTACTTATGAAACAAACAGTGTAAAGAAGAAGAAGAAAATGAACTCTTTCATTTGTTTTGTTTTACAAGCTTGGAATCCGACAAGTTCCTGTGAATTTTCCCGGGAAACTTCTCGTTTTCTCAGAGACTATGCTGTTTGGGAAATCAACGCTTTTCTATGGATTTCTCTTATATCCATCACTTATTTCCTCACTCACAGGCTGTTTAAGCTCTTTGAGTTGTGGAATCAGGGTTCTAAAATCCCAGGCCCTCCTTCTCCTTCCTTTTATGGCCATTTCACTACTCTCTCCAAACAAAATCTCACAGGTAGTAAAACTATTTTCTTTTCTTTTTCGTGATTTTTAATGCAAAAGATGAATCTGTGGGTCTTTTGGAACCTGGGTTGTTCTTGTATTTGCCAGGATCAGTGTTTTGACTTAACCGTGAAGCTTCAATCTTTTTATGAAGAAGAATGATCAGTACCTGAATTTTTAGAATCTGGGTTTTGCTTTGGTTGTTTAAAAATGTTATTTTTTCTTGGTATTTATGTATATATATTTGTGCAGAGGTATTGTCAGATTCACATGGGGAATATGGTTCAATCGTGAAGCTATGGTTGAGTCCAAATCAGCTTTTGGTTTCAATAAAAGAACCAAAAGTCATCAAAGAGATGTTGTGGAAGGCTAAGGATAAACTTCCCTTGACAGGAAAGGCTTTTAATTTGGCATTTGGACAGTCCGCCCTCTTTGCTTCCTCTTTTGATAAGGTACTTCTGAACTACAAGCTCTTTTAGATGATATTGCTACCGAGTCGATAGGAGCGTAATTGAACAGAGCGGTCTCAATATGTAAGATCTTTGAGTTCGAGTTCCGTGTTGAAGTCTGAGGGTCAAAGTTCAATTTGAGTTCTTGTGGTATTGGTTGCCTAGTCAAAACCAATCAAATCTATGGAACTTTAGGGTTTAAATGATTATTGAAATAAAATTAGGCAATGATATTATGGTTTAAGGGCCTTTTGAGTCTTTGAAATTAGATATGAACTATTAGCTGAAACTTTTGATAATTTTGGTATGGATAATATGTTGTGTTTGATCTTCGAATTGTTCCAACAAAATGTTTTCTTGCTTTTTCAATTATACTTCGATGGCATGACCGAACAACCTTCCGATATTCTGCGGATTTTTCCACTTTATCATCTGCAGGTAGAAAAGAGAAGAGAGTCATTGGCATCTGAATTGAATGTAAAGTTGCTTGATAGAGCAAATTTAATCCCGACCAGGGCTGTTGATCGTATCATGGCTGAATTACACCAGAACATGGCCAAAGGACATGTTGATTGTAAAATGGCTTCTCAGCATATGGCTTTCACTTTGCTTGGCGCTACAATCTTTGGTGACACGTTTTTGGCTTGGTCAAAGGCTACTATATACGAGGAGCTCTTGATGATGGTTTCTAAAGATGCATGCTTTTGGGCCTCGTATAGTGTTACTCCCTTCTGGGAACGAGGGTTTTGGAGGTATCGGCAATTATGTACAGAGTTGAAATGCCAAACTAGAGACCTTATTCAAGAGTGCAGTAGAAATTACAAGTTCAATGGCCATCTTAATGTAAGAGATGAACCTTATGGAAATATTATGGGCATGCTGATTCATGGATGCTTAACGATGGGAGGTTTGATCAGTAATATGTTGATGAGGCTTGTTACACATCCTGAAATACAGCAGAAGGTATGCTTCCTCTTTTCCGGTTTCTTTCTTTTCCGAGTCATCAATTACTTTACTAGTCTTAGGAAGTACTAGAGACTTTCTTCTGAACTTAAATGACCCTTCATCACTCGGCATATATATGTGTAAGTGTTTATACATTTGAGTTTGGAGTTGAAGGTCCCAGATTGCAGTTGATATATGTTTTTGGAATTGAACTTCTGCAGATCCGCTCCGAGATAATAATGGCACGGAAAGGTTCAGAGGAAAAAGATCTACTTATTGTAGAGAAGATGCCTTTATTGTTGGCAACTATCTATGAGTCTGCTCGTGTTATGCCAGCCGGACCTTTGCTACAGAGGTGTTCCCTGCAACACGGTGAGCAATTTTTGAAGTTTGAAATTGAAAAATTTTGACATTCGACGTTCTTTTTCATGTCTTCCTTGATCATTAAACAAATCGTCATCTAACTTTCAAAAAATACGTTTCAGCACTCAAGTATTCTGAGTTTCATGACAAAACCTTCAGCACTTGAGTATTCTGTGTTTCATGTCAAAACCTTGAATTTTTATACATGTTGGACCATTCAGGGTCTGCTAACCACCTTAGTTTTCTGACAAAAGGTTTTATTTCTGATTTGAAAATGTATTATCTTTTTGAGGTTTAGAACTAGAGTCCCGTGATGGTTGCGGACTTGCTGTTTTATAAGTTATAACACTAATTGTAATGTCACTGATACAAATGTTTTCCATCTCCGTGTTTTGAAGATTTGAGGCTCAAATCTGGTGTAATTGTACCGGTGGGAGCAATAGTTGTTGTACCTGTGCAGTTGGTGCAAATGGATGATTCTAGTTGGGGAAATGATGCCGATAAATTTAATCCGTATCGTTTTCTGTGTAAGACGGACGAAACATCCCCTTCACTGAATATGGATAAATCCATTGCAGGTTTCTCTCTTTTCCCAAAACTTCTATTAATTTGGATTTGCTTATGCTTGGTAAAACTTTCCAATTTAGCACAAAGCTATGACACTTCTTGTTTTCGTTGTTCCCTGTCGTATTCACTGTCGTGCTTTGAATTATGCTTGTTAGTTCATTACTACACAGCGCATCATGATCATGTTGGTTCTTCCGGATTTGGGTTTAACCTTCTTTTGGATTTAGTTTGCATTCAGTGTCACAGGGTGCTAATATAGATTTTTATCCAATTGCTTTTCTTCGCTTCAGGACATGCTGAAGAACTGAAGGATCAAAGGAAGAGTTCTTTCGTTTTGAATGATCCGAATGAGAACACAGCTTTTCTTCCCTTCGGTTCCGGTACACGATCCTGTGTTTACCAGAAATTTGTCATTCAAGGTATCGCAACATTGTTTGCCTCCTTGCTCGAACAGTACGAGGTTTGTCCTACTTACCAGTAATTTGTACAGTTTTAGTTTCAACTTAGTTTCTACAAGCAAGCAGCCTGGCATATTTTGAGCATACGAACACGAAATAAAATCGTATTACGCACATCCGAGTCTAAGTAACATAACTACTACGTACTAGATATTTAAGAGATTGTTTTCTCTTCATGAAATTCTTATTTCTGATGCACTGAAAGTTTGACGCATGATTCTTTTTTCTTGAATCTATATGACAGGTGAGGCTTAATCCAGGATCGAAGACAAATTCAAAACCGTCGTCAACCGACTCGATTTCTCAAGATTTTCTGGGTTACAAACTAGTTTTTGCTAGGAATAATTGAAAGTCACAACATATGCTTACATACATACATACAATCATCCTTTGTTATGTTTCCAGTTATGTTTTTCATCATACAGCTTTTTGATGGAGAAGACATCCAGATTCTCGTCGCCTTTTTCCTCCGAAATGATCGGAGAAGCTCATTTCACTGCTTCGGAAACCCCGGGATAAACCTCACATGAGTATATTTCAGAACTCATGTTTTTTTCATTTTTTTTAAGAACAAGAAAATCCTCAATGGTTTCAAATTTTCTCAAAAGTGCAGTGTCTGATTCCAAGCAGTTTAGTATTTGTTTTTGGAGCAGTTAGAGATGCTGTTTGCAGTGAAAAGACTCTACCTCTTGTCTTCCCCATCTCTTAAACTTTGGTCATTTTCTGTGTTTTTCCTCCTCAATGGAGTTTGTGCTGTACTGAATGTTATAATGATTTGGAAACTTGTAATGATATATATGAAATAAATGAAACTTTTAAGTTATAATTATATCAACTATGTTCATGTTGATGGACAGTGGGAGAGATGGTGGGTAAAGGTGGTCGGACAGGTCAAAGATGGTGGTAGGTTGATCGGTGGTATCTGTGACATGTTTGATTCGCGAAAAAGATTATCATAATTCACATGCATGAAAATAGAACTTGAAATGCATCCGTACATCTTTCACCAAGAAGTTTTGAAGATAACCCGATTTTAGGTCCGGCAACGGGGAGCGATCGAAATCAATCTGTCCTGCAACATGTTCTTCAATCCGTCCAGTAACATGTTCTTCGCATTGCATTACTTGAAGAAATGGGCAAGGGTAATTAATTCGACGATCATGAAACTAAAATTAGAGCCAAGTCAAAACTGAGCATGCAATAAGATCATAGTTACACTAGGAGCCACAATTTTCTTGATGCATAACAAGCTGGTTCCCGGACTAGTGTCTTTCGGTTGTGAGAATCTACCATTTTCAAAGTTATGTTAGTGAATGCTGTAACAGAAAGTGAACGATGATGGATAAAAAAAGACACAAGTGAGATGCATTTGAGCCCCCTTGACATCTGCATAGGATATTTTACCATACTCCAATGAGATCATCTTGACTATTTTTGCATTTTCTTTATCCGCTTGGGGTGCTAAACTTATCTTGACTGCTAACGTTTTTCTAGGAGTCCAGCTTCGTAGATACTCACCCTTCCTCGTCGTAATCTTCTTCATCCTCGTCTAACCTTCCACCAAGTTCAGCAAGTTGAAGAGGATCGATAGCCATTTTTTCCATTTCTGAAAGAGACCAGCCAGGGTATTCTTCATGTTTAGCCTCTGTTGTAGGCCCTGGCAAAGAAGGCTGAGCTGCTGCCACTGCCGCACCAGCAGCACTGGCTGAGGCTTCAGGTTCAGCAACTTTAGCAGCAGATGCAGCGTCCTTTGTATCCACATTCTCATCTACCTCAGCATTCAGATCGAAATTCCGATTGGCATCATCACCGGTTGTGTTCTCTTTCACAATATCCTTCAACTCGGAACCATCATCTATTGCCATTCCCGTGGTTGAATGACTTTTGTTGTTTTGTTGATGTGTTGAGCAATGTTCTGGTTCTATTTCACGATGAGCATCTCTTTCCACATGTCGAGCTCCTCTCCCACGGCCCCTGCCTCGTCCACGGCCTCTCCCTCGGCCACTGGTGCCAGCATGACCCACATCGTGCTGCTGAACACATGTAAGAAAGAAGTCAGTCAGCCCAAGTAGTTAAACTCTCATACACATATAAATGGCATGCTCTGAATAGTGACATTCGAGTGAAAACTTAAACAAACAATGGATTTGAGTTAAATTTATTATTCATGTAAAACAACATGCACAACAATGAATAAACCCAGTAATTCTTATACTGAAGTTTCTGAAACAGTACACCAAAATTCACAAATTAAACAGTACAGTAAAGTTTAGCATCATTCATTCCTATAGAGTTGTGCACACGCTCATACCATGTTCTATATGCTTATAGCACGCATGCGTGCACACGTGTATATATATATATATACACACGCGTATATGTAAAGGCAGGTACAAGTTGAATCAAAACCATCTTACCATTCTGCTTCTCTTAGATTCTTCATCACTGTCATTGGCGTCATCTCCGGCAGCTTTTCTGGCAGAATGATATGGGAAAATATCACCAAATAAGTGTCTCATTTACAAATTCAAAAGTAAGAAACAAGGGGGAAGCCAGGGTTTCTCTAACCTTCTCCGGGAAATAGTTCGATCATCAGTAGCGGCAGCCTCAGAATGGCCATGACCATAGTCGGGAACCCGGCTAACAATGTCTCTCAGAAAGTCAAATACATTGTAGCTCTGTACACAATGCTTTCTGCTATTTAGTTAGATGCTTTTGTTAGAACAATGCACAACACAGAAAAAACACAACACTAAGGGTAACAAAGAACGAGATCCAAAGACACATAATTAGATACCATGCTGATCACAAGGCTAAGGCTTGTTAATCTAAAAATGTAGCATGCATGATCCATCTATCTATCTATCTACGCTATCTTTTCCCCTTCTCGCCTTTTCTTGTTTATATTTTTTTATTTCCACTTTGACGCCAAATCTATTAACAGGGAACCTTTTATTAAAGCCAAAGAAAGTAAACGAAATTGAGAAAAGTTAAAAAAAATTAAAAAAACTACGATACTAAACTACTACCAAACCTTTAAAGTAAAACTCCAAAACCTTCCAAAGCATTTGACGTGGGAGACATTTATATTGTAGATATCTACATTATTAACGCACATGCACATGATCAAGAAAAGTGAAACAAAAAGAAACATTTATGTGTACGAGTACATGTATAAATGCAGAAAAGAACGTCAAATCCTAAAGCAGACGACAGATATCGCATGCTAATTCTTCACTTACAAATGCAATGAATTCATGGTCTTTGCTCCTCTTTGAAGAGTAATCTCATACGTACGGTCACAAAGGTCTTGGAGAAACAATTCCAATGCTTTCGCTGAAAAGTATACAAAGTAGCATGAGCAAGTACTATACACTCATGGAGGAATTATTTCAGTCAATCATGAAAGTTATAGCCACTCACAAACTAAAACAGGCACTGCTCCTGCAATCTTCCCGACATCTTCATCTGCTTGCATAATCTTTTTGATGCGAGCCTGAAAAACAAATATTCTCTACAGTTTCAGCATTAATCATGGCTAAGATCAGTCAAAATTATAAGAAAACAATTGTCAAGGGAATATCATTCCAAGAAGATGAACTCATAGACAAGCATGACAATGCAACTCAAGGTTCTAAAGCATATACAAAACATCAGGAAAACATTCGTATGTTCTTCAGGCAGAAACATCAAATGGAGTTGCGGGACCACAAACCAGTATATCTCAATTATAAGAGATTAACAATTACCTACTAATATCAGGATATCCTAATATAAAACAGTAACCCCCCAAATCAGTAACAAGCAAGACACAGATTGTTAACTGCATACAGAATATCAGGACAACAAGATAGGATCTTCGAATGCATAGATGTCCTTATAGTTCCATCAAGTGAGAGCATCATCAAACAGGCGTACTTATAAGTTGCCGGTTTATAATCGTCAACGGAGCAACATAACACAATTCCCTAAGTGTGGTGTGAGAAGATAGGACACAGCTAACTTATGTTACTCAAAACTTAGGTGTGAGTGTCGAATAGGGGTAGCGTTTGACATAGGTATGTTGAACTTTTTCTAAGTCTTTTCCTTGTCTAAGGACGTTGGCAGGTCGGAGGAGGGTACTTCAAAAAAAAAATGAGTCGGAGTAACACAAATGTCAATGATGTCAAGACCAAATTAGGATATGATGATTAACAAGAAACTAAAGTTGTACAACTCAGTCAGCTAAACATTCTGCAGACCAAGAATCATCAAACAATATTTGGGATAAACCTCCATATCTCTGAAATATCGAAGAAACAATCAAAAACATTATCAAACCAACATGAGATTTCATAGGACATCAAAAAACAAAGAATCCTTCCTAAAAGAACTTTGAAAAACACAAATCCAACAACACAGTCCATGAAATTCCATATAATTGAAACAATATAAACTAATTCCAAAAACTCTAAACATTGAACACATAGTCAACTAATATATAGAAAAATAATGATGACCCAGGTCACGAAAACTATCTTATAAATCGGAATCGCAGCAACAAAAACAATCACATTATTAAAAACTATAATAAACCCAGATTTCATTTTCCATCAAATCAAACACCCAAATCAAACAAACATCTGATTAAAAAGGGGGGGAACAAATTCAGAGAAAAGTAAAAGGGAAAAAAATAAGAAAAAGATAGAAGCTTACAGCTGGGAAACGGGTATCGAGCTTCTTTCTCATGATTTGGGTGTCAGATTTGGATCATTAATTATTAAAAATAAAAAACCTAAACGAAATCGAAATATATATAATTAAATAAAATCTAAACCCAAAAAGAAAACATTTTCAGATCCGCAGACTGGCTATGAATCTTCTTCAGTTCTAAAAGAACCAAAACATAAACAAAGAAGGCTTTGTTTGAACATACGTTTCGAGTTGGACAAAAATTAAAATTAAAATTAAAGAAGAAGAAGAAGAAACAAAAGAAAAATACAATAAAGTAAAGTAAATTTCATCCCCAAACTTTGAATGTCATTTTATTTTGGTCCCTAAAAGTTAGCATCTTTTAATTTTATCCCCAAATTCATCCAAATATATAATCCATTTCAAACATAGTTTAACCTAAACTTTATTTTTTTTCAAACATATAATAATATAAATTGGTCTAACAATTTTATTAACAAGGGATGTGCTTGGTATATACTTATAAATTAGGATTAAATTGAAATGTTTAAAAAGTTTGGGGACCAATTTAGAATAAAGAGCATAGTTTAGGGATGTTACTGGAATTTTAAAAGTTTGGGAACTAATTTAGAATAATAGTCATAGTTTAAGGATGAAAATGATATGTTTAAAAGTTTAGAGGCCAATTTAAAATTAAGTTCATAGATTAGGGACTATGATGCAATTAACTCTAAATAATATTAAAAATGATAAATATGAAAGTGATTTTATATATATTTCATCACTCAACTTCAATTTTATTCTTATTTTAGTCATTACACTTTAATAATTTCGAATTTGATCATTATATTATTGAATTATTCTTGTTTTGCTTACTATGTAATGAAGGTATGATTGAACATCTATCTTTTAGAAGTTATGAAATGGTTCTATATTTTTTTGTTATTTTAGAAAAAAATATTTTTAATCCTATTTGATTTTCATGAGATATAGTATCTTCTTCAAAATCCTAATAATGGTGTAACACCCCAAATTCTAGACTAGTAGTTTTGAGTTTACCCGAGAGGTAGGTGAACCCTGTACATTTCCTAATTTAAGTCGTTGGTCTGAGTTGGGTTTAATTGGGTTGGACTTGAGCCCAATTAGCCATGAAAAGAGGGTTTTTGAATAGTGGAGAGATGATAATGGATCAAAAGCATAATTTCCCCATTTTTAAAAAGATTAGAGCTTTTACTCTTTTCATCTTCTTCTCCTCTCCATTTCTTCTTTTTCCTCTTCAAAGGCCAAAGTTAATTCCTTTGAGCCATTTCTTACTTCTTTTAAGCTTCATTTTCGTCCTAAATCAAACCAGCAATTTTGGTTTGATGATTCAAGTCTTGGGTTCTTTATAGCTAAAGAGAAACCGGGGGGGTTTTCATCCAAATCTTCGAGGAAATGAGTGTGGATAAGCAATAAGCTTCATTTCAGGGCTCCTAACATCAAGATAGTGTATTTCTAATCTTTTGGAGTGTTAAGGCTTTGTAAATATAAGGTTTTGTTAAGATTTGAGTATTTAAGCATTTTAAGGTTTGTGTTTGATTTCATGATTAGATGACGAATTTGATGTAAAGCATGTGTTTTTATAACCCTAAGTAACTCCTTCAAGCTTTAGCACATGATTAGGAACAAAAGTAAGACTTTTAGGATGATTTTTGGATGTTTCCCGAGCCTAAACAAGATATTTATGAGTTCAAGTATCGATATTGGATGAATCGGAACCTAATTTGGGGGGTTTCCGACTAGGAGTATCGATAATACTAGGAATAATATCGATATTGCCCCTACGGTATCGATACTCACGGTGTACAATATTGATACTGGTCCTATTTTTCAGTAATAGAATGCATTTTTGGTACTGATACTCATAGGCGTATCGATACTTGACCCTAAGGTATCGATACTACAAGCAGAGTATCGATACTACAAGCAGAGTATCGATACTACTCACTTTTGGATGGTTAGATTTGACATGTTTAAGGCCCATAAGAGCTAATGATGATTCGTAATAGTAGAACTTAGTTTGTGGGGGACATAAATGACCAATTATTCGTATGAGCGTGTTACATGTAATACCCCAAAATTTGGCTAGTGACTAAAATCTAATTTTTGAAAGTTAAATGACTAAAGTATAAACTTTGAAAAGTTTAGATACTAAAAATATAATTTTGAAAAGTTATATTTTAGCTCGTAAATGAATAGTTTTGGCTAAAACAAGGATTTTCATGGTAATCAATTTTTCGGTTCGAGATTTATGTTAAAAACTATAAAGTGTTAAAGTTTAGTATATAAATCGGATAATCGAATCGAACCAGAATTTTACGAAAATTTGAAGGAGGTTAGAGGATGGTTGGAAATATTATTTCCATATTTTAGATCATATAAATTTGGCTCAAATCAGTGTAATTTTTTAGATTTGGTTGAAAAGTGAAAATTTTAGTGACTAAAATATAATTTTTAAAAATTGCATTACCAAAGTATAAAGTCAAAGTCAAGTTTGTTCATATTTGACTAAGAAATATTTTAATAGAAGATAATTCAATGACAATCGAAAATTTTTAAGATTATTAATGGTATTTTTAGAATTTCTCATTAATTAAATTTTAAATTAAATTATATTATTAAAGTGTCATGTGTTAAGGCTAATTTATACTAGAATAATCAAGAAATTTAGCACAATTTCATCCATCTCCAAGCTCAAGGCCGAAACTACCATTGCTTCTAGGTAAGTATTTTATTTTTTATTTTTTATTTTTAAGCTTACATGGTTGATTTTTGGATTAAGTTGTGAAATATAAAATTTATTAGTATATATTTACGAGTTATTTTATTACTTTTTAATATATAAATATATTATTTATTAATTAAATAATATTATATTATATTATTTACAATAATTTCAAATAAATTCTCTATAAAAATACAAGTGATTCATTCTTAAGGAAGAAGAAAAAGGTCTCCCCATTGCTGAGCTAAAAGCAAATCTCAAAATACAATCTCTCCTCCTCCACCGCCCACCTCCACTAATGGTTCCACCGTCGTCAAATCCGCCGTCAAACCCCCAACAAACCCAACAATTCCTGTCCTCCGTCCTCTCCCAACGCGGCCCTTCCTCCCTCCCTTACACCGAAGACACCAAATGGCTCATCCGTCAACACCTCCTTTCTCTCGTCTCCAACTACCCTTCCCTCGAACCCAAAACCGCCACCTTCACTCACAACGACGGCCGATCCGTCAACCTCCTCCAAGCCGACGGCACCATCCCCATGCCTTTCCAAGGCGTCACTTACAACATCCCCGTCATCATCTGGCTCATGGAATCTTACCCGCGTTACGCTCCCGCCGTCTACGTCAATCCCACGCGCGAGATGATCATCAAACGACCCCACCCCCACGTTTCTCCTTCTGGGTTAGTTTCGATCCCTTATTTGCATAATTGGATTTACCCAAGCTCTAATCTTGTCGATTTGGTCGTTAATTTGAGCTCCGCTTTTTCGCGTGATCCGCCTCTTTATTCGCAACGTCGTCCCAATCCTAACCCTAATCCTAGTCCCAGCCCTAGTCCCAGCCCGTCTATTAATACCTCCATGTCGCCTAGTTACGGGCACCATCCGCCGCCGCCAGGGCCTAGGGTGGCTCACACAGCGGCGGGGGTGTATCCTCCGTCTCCGTATGGGAGGGTACATCCTCCACAGCACTCACAACCTCGTCCGACTTCGATGGATGATGCCGCCGAGGTGTATAAGAGGAACGCGATGAATAAGCTGGTGGAAATGGTTCATGGCGATATAATCGGGATGCGAAAAGCTAGGGAAGTCGGAATGGAAGGGTTGTTTTCGGCTCAAGCTGTGTTGAGAAGAAGAGAGGAGGAGATTAATAAAGGGTTTAAAGAGATGCAAGAGGAAAAGGAAGCTTTAGAGCAGCAATTACAGGTTGTTTTGATGAATACAGATGTTTTGGATAGTTGGATTAGAGATAACGAAGGGAAAACAAAGGACTTAGGGAAGAACAATGTGAATGTCGACGAGGCAATTCGTTGTGTCGATGTTCTCTCTAAGCAAATGTTGGATTGCACGGCTGCTGATTTAGCTATCGAGGACGTGGTTTATTCCTTGGATAAGGCGGTGCAAGACGGAGCTGTGTCGTTCGATCAGTACCTGAGGAATGTGAGGCTGTTGTCAAGGGAGCAGTTCTTTCATAGGGCTACTGCTGCGAAAGTTAAGGAAGCTCAAATGCAGGCTCAGGTGGCAAACATGGCTGCTAGACTGTCACATTTTGTCTCGTGACTGGTTATCGTTTTGTACCAGATTTGTCCATACAACGGATCGTGTTATTCGAGGTTAGATTCTTGTCAACATTTGATATTAATAATATGATATAGCATCATTACATTTAGTTTTATCCATATGCATCATTCATATATGTAATTTGTATGTCGACACTCATTTTTTGCGTTTTCTCTTGTTGCGATGAACTTGGCATTTGTGAGAAACTGAAATGGAGTTAGCTATTGTACGAGTATCTGTGTTGGTATTGTTTTATCTGCTTCATTTATGTTCGAGCTATCGAATATAAATCCGGGCTAGCCTGTCTATGCTTACTGCTCTAATGCATTGTAAAAATTGCAAGGCTTTCCTCTTGATAGATGGTGGTCAAATAACACTTCCCTTCTCTTTGTTTCTCAATTCAAAAGTCTCTTTTATATCTAATTGGGTTCAATTCTCATCCAATCGAACTCGAACTTGGTCCAACAAACTCAAATGTTCTAGTTATCTGATTCATCCTTAGTTTCCTCACATATTGATTTGGAAATTTGAATCATTATAAAGAAAGTATGTGTTTGATTTATTATCGGAGTCGGAAAATTAGGTGCTTAACTATGTAGTATTCTAATGTCTCGGTTTACAATTAACTAAAGAAGGTGAATTATTTGCATATCTTGAGAGGTACATATGATTTATTGGAAAATTGAATTATTTTACTGTGACATATTCTAATATTGTTTAGGGTAAATTATGTGTTTAGTACTTAAATTGTCTGTTTAATTCGTTTTTGTACCTAAACTTTCAATTTTTATCAAAACCATACCTAAAGTTTAGTATTTGTTTTATTTTAGTATCATGTTCAAAACTTAACGTTAAATTTTGAAAAAAATTGAAAGTTTAGTTACTAAAACGGACCAAAACCGATAGTTTAGGTACTAAACGCGTTAAGTTTTTAACGGTGGGTACTAAAATGAAACAAAAATTAAACATTAAATATGGTTTTGAAAAAATAGAAAATTTAGATGTTAAAATAGACCAAAATTGGGATATAATAGTCGTTTGAGATTATAGGATCATATTTTATCATATCACGTTCAACAGGTTAATGTTTAGTTCAGAATACCATCAATTTTTAATAGAAAATGACGAGTTTCATAATGAATAGTCGGGTAACTATTTTGTAACTTTTAATAGCCGATGGACTCAACAAAATAACACTTTATAGTCAAATGATCATTTTTTAACTTTTAATAGTTGGGGAACTATTTGTGTGCGCTTTACCCATAAAGATGTGGAGTTTTATGAAATTTAATGATACACATTTATTTATTTATTTATTTATAGAAGCTATTAATTTTATTCAAAATAAAAAATATCTCAAATTACAATGATGATTTACAATCATAATCGTAAATTAAGTATATAATTAGGATGATTTCCTATAATCATTGGAAAAAAAACTAGTAACTTAAGATCATATAAGAACCATACAAGGAAAGATTAAAACCTACCCAAGAAACTCGAACAAAGATATATAAAAATAGATTTGATCACATCGGTAAACGAACCACAAAAAGAAATTAAACAATTGAAATACAACTGACAAACCGCAAATCAGATTCGAGTGACGTGAAAAGCTATTTACGAATTCATAATGGGTATCCAAATCCAATCCGACGGTCCAACGTAAGGAAGATCAACAATATAACATATAAGTGTCATTCTTAATCAGTCGTGGAGATGTTAAATCAACCTTTAAAAAAGATAAGTGAAAACAACGTTTAAATGACCAAAAAATGCCAAAATACATGAGAAAATGTGTCATAAAGGTAGATGAAAACGTCTCATACAGGTAGATTTATTGAAAATGAAAAATAAAAGAAAATAAATATGTGATATATGAAAATAAAACGATAATAAAGAAAATTAACAATCGACAATTAATATTAAAATTAGTGTCGTTACCAATGAAAGAAAACTAAAAACAATGATTAATGATACCCATTTATATTGTACAAAATTGACAATACTAATATTACTCGGAATCATACTAACAGCTATGTATCATGTTTGTTATACACATAATAAGGGTTACCATGTCTTGTACACTTATTGTATCATATATGCATCATAATAATAGTAATAATTGGGTGTATTTTTTTATGAAGACTCGATATATTTTTTTGTTTTCCTATTAAAAACATTTTTGAACCCTTATTTTCTCATCGGTTTCTCTTCAAAAACATTTATAATTATTATTTAAATATCGATAATATATTTTATAAAATTTAAAAAATAATAAGAGAGTTTACTTCTTTAAAAATCTTGGTCAAAAAGAGCAAAGTAAAAGTGATTGATTACCTTACCCTTACAATTAAACACAGCACAATACTTTAATAAATAAAGTATTCTAAATATATTTTAACATATTTTGCATATATACCTTACTTGTCAAGAAATTTGGTAAGACGGCTTCTTCATAATCTTTTAGTTAATCACTTATACATCATAATCTCGTAATTATTTTTAAAAATCATATAATTATGATTATATTTAAAATGCTTTAACCAAAGAGAAGAGTGAATCTTTAGGATACATTAGCTTTCAATTCAAGTCATTTTGTTTGTACCTTACTTGCCAAGATTAATGTTAAAATACCTTTTTTAAAGAAATTCCTATTTATTGTTAGAAAGAAGCCATTCAAGTCATTCTTGTTTGTACCTTACTTGCCAAGATTAATGTTAAAATACCTTTTTTAAAGAAATTCCTATTTATTGTTAGAACAAGAAGTCATCATTCACTGCCATCTCATTCATTACTCATAGAACACAAATGGAGATGGAGAAGAAGAGAGAGATTAAGCACCGTTTTCATGAGCACCCCTTGGTGTTTGTGGAAGATCAAAGCAATGAAGGTGAGAAAGCTTACTGCTCAGCCTGTGGGGATGTGATTTCAGATCCATGCTTTAGTTGTCCACCCTGCAATTATCACCTTCATCACAACTGTGCCCTCGCACCCGAGAGAATTTCCAGTCACCCTCTCCATCCCCAACACTCTGGTTTTTTCCTTCGAAAAAGGCCACATCCTGGTATTCAGGTATATGGTTGTGCATTATGCAAGGAGAAACGCAACATGTTCTTTTATGAATGTAATGTTTGTTACTTTTCCCTTGACATCAAATGCGCTGATTTGTCTTCTTCATGTAGTAAGGTCAACCAAGAGTCCAAACATGACTTCCACCCACATCCATTGACCTTCATTCCAAGTCCCTTGAATGAACACAAAAACCTGTATTGCTCTTGTTGCCATGAACCCTTAGTTGGTGCATTATATATTTGTGTTGATTGTCCTCTCATCTTTCATAAGACATGCATTGATGAATCCAATAAATTTAAACACCCTTCCCATCGCATACACCCTCTTTTTCTTGATCGCAACAAGAATTCTCTCTTTTGCAAACTATGTCAAAAACAACATTATGGATTCTTTTACTGTTGTTCTGTTTGCGATTTTAAGATCAATATTCTCTGTGCTTGGTCGATGCCCTTTGTTGAAGATAAAAGTCGCCATCAGCACCCATTTACCTTACACTGGAGACGAGGCTCATTCATTTGTGATGCATGTGGTACTCAGGGAAACTATATGTCTTATACATGTTCGACATGCAACATCACAGTCCATAAAGACTGCACAAAACTCCCACGCATTATCAAATTTTCACGACATGATCACTGTCTTTTTCACAAATATTTTATTGAAACTCAAGAGCTTACAACAAAGGATTGTAAGATTTGTTTCAATGAAGTGAATCTTGAGTGTGGGAGTTACTCTTGTGTGAAGTCCGGTTGCAATTACATCGTTCACGTGAATTGTGCCTTGGAGGATGACAGATTTTACGAGGTGGTTGAGCGAGAAAGCCAATGCGAGGAGCTCTATGGAAGTTCAGCTAAGTCTACGCAATCTTCCATCACTCGCGTTGTTGAGGTGAGTGAAGATGGGGAAGCCACAAAGATTGAACATTTCAGCCATGAAGGTCATTGCTTGGTGTTAGCAGACAAGATGGAGGAGGAAACTGATAGAAGATGTGATGGGTGCATGCTACCTGTGTCAACTCTGTTTTATTATTGTTCTGAATCAGAATGCCATTTCTATCTCCACAAAAACTGTTCTGAGCTGCCAAGAGTAAAGCGTCATTGGTTTCGTCGATCTACTGCCAATCTGGACTCCAGAAGCTTCATGAGGTGTTACTTATGTCGTCGATATTGTAGCGGTTTCTTCTACGAAATGGGAGGACCGGACGTTTGCTTAAGGTGTGCTGAAGTACGTGACGTGATTGAATTTCAAGGACACGAGCACTTGCTGTTTTATGATTTAAAATGCAGGGAGCGATGCAATGGTTGTGGCGCTGACCCAGGTCCATATGGTGCATTCAAATGTGGAAAGTGCAGTTTTGCTTTGGATTTCAAATGCTTATCATTACCACAATCAGCTGTTCACAAAATTGATCAACACCAGCTGAACCTCACCTATCACGATGATAATGATTATTCAAAGCATCTTCATTGTGATATATGTGAAGTAAAAAGAGACCCGAGCCTCTGGTATTATTGTTGTTCGATCTGTGATACTTCTGCTCATCCCGATTGTATTCTTGGAGAATTTCCATTTCTCAAGGATGGGATCACATTTTCTCAATATCATTACGGACATCGTCATGATGTTCAGTTTCATAGGAAGGCTGAGGACTACCCTAACTGCCGGTTATGCGGTCAGCGTTGCCGAAGAGAAATTCTCAAGTGTACTGAGTCTACGTGCAACTATATTGCTCACTTCAAATGTTGGTGGCTTTGAGTCTAAAATGTCTGCAGCGTAAGTTGTTCAGATAATTATAGAGCCATTGCTATGGTTGATTGCTGAGATGGTGTTGTCTTATTTGCATCCATTGACATTAACTTCAATGGTGTTGATGATTGTAGATGTGTTTGGCTCAAAATGGAAGGTTTAGAGGAATTCAAAGGATTTCGCATTGGAAAACTTTGAGTGAGCTTTATCTATGAGTGTTATTAGTGTGTGATTAATGGATTTGTGTGATTATGTTTCAATGTAATGATTCCCAGTGTTATTATTGTGTGATTATGTTTCAATGTAATGATTCCCAGTGTTATTATTGTGTGATTATGTTTGAATGTCAATTTAAGAATATTTCTTACACAGTTTTTATTACACATTCAATCCGCAAAGGTTACACAGCAAA